CATGAGGTGGCAGTGCCAGTCCACCCAGTGGTACCTGACCCGTACACTCTCCTCTCACATTCCTGAAGATGCCAGTTAGTTCTGTGTTGAATTTAAAAGATGCCTTTAAAACAAACCAACAAACATCTCTAGTTTAATTTTGCCTTGAAGGCCCTCATGGTCCGTCCTCTCACCTGACTTGGGCTGTGCCTCATCTTTCCATGACTCGGGCCGTCTCAAGTCTTCCCAGGCCACGGTCCTGCAACATGTAGCTGACATACTGTCGTGGGCCCCCTCAGAGAGCCCTCCGGCCCGGGCACCCCTGCCCCTCTGAAGTTTTTAGCTGACAGGTGGTCCTGTCTCTAGGTCTGAGGCACAATTTTGTAGCCCCGAGGTAATATACTTGGGCCTTATCGTGCCTAAGGGAGAATTCAGCCACTGTTCTCCTGCCCCCAGCCCAAGACCCTCAGACAGCTAAGAGGATTCCTAGAAATCAAGGGCTTTTGTCGCCTTTGGACGGCAGGGTGTGGTGAGAGGCAGGACCCCTTTATCAGCTTGTATAAGAAGCCCAGGAGGCAGACACTCAAATTGAAACCTGGGAACTGAGTCCCAGACTGCATTCCCGAAGTTTAAGCAAGAGCACGTCTAGCTGCCCCAGCACAGGCACCAGCCCCGGCCCTGAGCCTCCCCAGGGGGGACCTGTCTTAGTCCAGTGTGATGAGAGGCGGGAGTGGCTTTGGGAGGCAGGGAATCCAGCCCGCCTGCCCTGGCAGGCCCAATCCATGGCAGCTTCTCCCTGGCCCCAGTTACTCTCAGGAGGTCTGATAAGCAGTTGGTACCTGCAGGCAGTTGTATTAAAAGGCCATCAGCCAGTGTAGTAGTGCACACCTGTAATCCCAGCCCTTGAGAGGCTGAGGCAAGACCATCTCTGTGAATTCAAAGCCAGCCCAGGCTACACAATGAGTTCAAGACCAGCTGAACTACAGAGCAAGACCTTGTCTCAAAAAGACAAAAATAAACTGGGCATGGTGGCGCACTTCTGTAATCCCAGCACTTGGGAGGCTGAAGCAGGAGGATCTCTGTGAGTTGAAGGCCAAATAGCAAGGCGCTATTTAAAAAAAAAAAAGTAACAGTAATAATAAAAAGAAAGCTATGATTCTGACTGGGAGCATAGAAGTGTAGATGCAAGAGAGCTGCTGTCTCTGACCCCAGGTGGAGGCCCAGTTGGAGCTGCTGTGAATGTTTCTTTTCTCTGCTTCCCCACAGCCAGGAGGGGAAAATGCAGAAGAATAAGAACTCACACCAGTGACTTCTCAGGAGCTGGGGATCAAACTCCTGCAAGGCAGGCAGCGGAACCACTGAGCTAAATCCCCGGCTTACTTTTTAAGCAAGGGTGCAATAGGTTTTTCTTACTTGTTTTGAGATTGGCTTTCATCTCAATATTCTTTTTAAAGCGAAACATTTCTTGGTACATTTTAGATATACAGTGATCATGTGGTCATGGGGAATTTGGCCCTGATGCTCCGTACACTGGAGCAAAGTTCACAGCACCTGCGTCTACTACCTCCTTCCAGACTCCCCAGTCCTTTCTGTATGCACATCACACCTCCCTAGCATGGCGTAAAACCTTGGGGCTAGACTTTCGAGCTAAATGGATTTTCTCTCTCCCTGTCTGCCCTGCAGTGACGGAGCACTTGTCACAAAAAGCTTTTCAAGGAACTGCCAAAAAGTCAGGGAGGGGGCCACACACACCCAGAGACACACTTGGACACGCACACACAGACACACACACAGCACGTGCGCTGACTTCCAAATCTAGAACCAGTGGCCCCGTGTTCATCAGTACCATGAATCTAATAGGGAGCCCTTGCAATGTTAGGGGTCCAGCAGTCAGTGGCCAGCATCTCCTGGCATCCGCAGCCCTGGAAGGAGGACCTCGGTGAGGAATTCCCCACAGGAAGGGGATGGTTAAGGAAGTATCGCCAAGCGTGAATGAACTTCCTGCTAGGTCATTTCAAAAGTAAAATATGGAAGATGTCTTAAAATTAAATTGTCTGTAAAAGACTGTGTCTAATGTCTAAGGTAGGATAGGGTGCTTTGTAATGTTTGGTGCCACCTCCTAAAGCGCGGGGCCCCAGCCCAGCAGTGTTGGAGCTCCAAGCCTGTCCTTGGGCCCCGTGGTGGTGAGGCGGAAGTGTGGCACTTGCTGAGGTGAGGGACAGGGCATTCCAAAGCGAGTTTGCATCTTGGCTTGGGAGCCACCCGCCGAGGAGGCTGTGATGCAGCAAGGGGTCAAAGCCCTGCTGCTTGGACTTTTAGCCGACAGAATTCTGGGCCAGATAAAGTTTTCTTTTTGGTACTGGGGATTGAACCCAGGGCCTTTACCTGAGCTACATTCCCAAACCCTTTTCAATTTTGAGGCAGGGCCTCACTGAATCACTAAGTCACTCAGACTTAACTCCACAGCCCTCCTGCCTCCCCCTCCCAGAGTGCTGGGGTCACAGGAGTGCACTACCACACCTGGCCTTTAATCCTCTTTTCTGTATGAAGCATCCAGGCTCCTGTGTTGTTCTAGCAATGCATAATGGACTAAAACACTGGGAGAAAATTTCATTCTATTATCTAACGTGTAATCAGTATAAAAATTAATGAGATATTTCCTTTTTTTTTTTTTTTTTGTGCTAAGCCTTCAAAGCCTGCTGTGGATTTGAGTACTACTCACACAGTGCCTTCAGTTACTGAAGCCAGTCTTAGAATGACCCTGTGTAGTCCAGGGCATTTTGGGATAGAGATTTAAATTTCCTACTCTTTCCTTCAGGACCAGAGCAGGGACCCTCACCCCCAGTGGCACCAGGCTTCAGGGTCCCCCCAGGAAACTGACAAGGACATTAAGTTTGAAATAGAAAAATCGGGGATCAGACTGCTTCGCATTTGCTCAGGAGGCTTCCATCTTTCTAAAAAAAAGTATATTAAGAATATTCTAACAAGAAAAGTCTTTCAAATTCTACTTTCCAAGTATCTTGACAGTTTAGTACCCAGTTTAGTAATAGCCACTTTTTTTTTTTTAAGACAGGGTCTGGCTAAGTTGCTCCAGGTGGCTTCTCACTTGCAATCCTCCTGCCTCAGCCTCCTGAATAGCTGGGATGATCTTCATTTCTTTCCATAAACTCTAGCCGGAAATTAAAAGGCTAAGGACCTAGGCATGGGGGGGGGGGCGGTGTCACTGGCGCCATCTTGTGGCCCGATCGAAGACTCACAGCGCAGCCTCACCTGAAAGCGGAGGTCCCTTCCCCTGGAGAGGCGGTGTCAGGCGCCATCTTGTGGCCCTATCGAACTCACAGCGCAGCCTCACCTGAAAGCGGAGGTCCCTTCCCCTGGAGAGGCGTTAACTCTGCTCACGCCAGTGCTTCCTGAGAGTCGCTCTGTGTCCCATTTTACAGACGAGGCCACTGAGGCTGGAAGAGGTTGAAAGCACCCCGGGCCAGCGGAGGTGACAAGGACAGAGCCGCCGCATCCCTCGGTATGAAACATCGCACGGACACGTCCGTCACAAGCACAGCACTGTTCGCACGGCGCACCGGAGTGGAGTTCGTACTCTTCGTGGCTCCACCTTTCACGATGCCAGTTGCAAGAACTACATTCACTTCCCGATTTCCCAGTGGGTCCCGGCTCCTTTGGGAAGGCTCCGGCTTGGACAACCCCATGTTTGGGGGCGTGTGAGCGCGCTTTTTACGGAGCCCCTCCAGTGGACTCGGGGTGTGACCGAGGGAGAAAGTATTTCCCGCGTCACCACCGAAATGGAACGCGGGCCGGTCAGGCAGCCAACACACCCCGTCCCCCGAAGAGCTTCCCAGCGTTGTCTGTGTCTTAAAGAAGCCGTGTTTTCCCTTCGTTGTGTCACTGCGTGTTTCACCCTCGGTGCTTCACCGTGCCAGTATTTCTTGGTACTGAGGACCGAACACAGGGTCAGACCAAAGGACAGCCGTGCAGACAGGCGCCTTCCTAATCCCTGCCGACACCTCTTTGAGGCGGCATCTTCCCATGTGCTGCCAGCGCCCAGCCGGGTGCCCACAGTGCGTAACCAAGGACTCGGGTTACAAGCAGCAGTAGCAGGAAGGCCTGGCAAAGGCAAACGGGAAGACTAAGCACACGTCGTGTGCAAGGCCGTGGGCTGCGACCTAAGTAGGACGCACGCTCGCTGTATGTTTTGCAAACTGTTGGAAGATCCTCGTTTGTCTCCTGCGTGGTTCATATCCTCCTCTCAAGGACAGCAGCTGTTTTTAACAGGGTATAGTGGCAAAGCCTGGCCAGACACGGAAGGGTCACGGCTGCCCTGGTCCTCTTCTGAAACGGAAGATGCCTCCAAGTGACCGTACTTGCTGAATGCCCACCGCATGAGCACAGCCCAGCCCCCTCAGAGGGGTGAGCTTCCTTGAAGACTGCACCTCAGGAAGTTCGGTGATTCACCGAGTCCTTCCTGGCTCAGCACCCACAAACCCGCAGCGCCCCGCCAGGCCAGGCACTCAGCCACGGCGCTCACACCCCGGTCTCTGGCAGCCCAAGCCCAGACGTACGCAAATTTCTTTAACTCATCCACCACAGAAACTTCCCTTGGCGACGGGCGCACACATCCAATCCTCTAATAAGGCCAAAGACAGGCTCGTTCTGTCCTTCCAAACACAGCCACCCTGCAAGAATGAAACTCAGGCCAAGCTGAAGCCAACAAGTACGTTCTGGGCTCAGAGATGGTCAAGCTTGAGCCTTTCAACTTGGGATCTTTTCTAGTTCCAGATCTTCCCATACACACAGGCTGATTCATGGAAGGGGAAATGGGCTGTAAGAAAGTTTAGATTTTTCTAGTGCACCTGCCTTTATCTTAAAAAACTAAATGGTCAGGCTGAAAAACAGCGGCCAAGAGTTAGTGGGCCTGAATTCACAGGCTCTGCCAAAGAATGTAAACCACGAGTGCAGGTGGTGCAGCTAGCAGCAGATTTTATTTTCATCACTTTTATGTAGGCAAACATCTTACAATATTACTGATAGCAGATTTTCACATTCACCAAGTTAGAGTTTACAAACCAGCCCCAAACAATAGGCATGTGAAGCATTTGGGGTCACAGGGTAAAATGACAATAGACCCAAACTTCAAACACCAAGTTGAGTTTCATCTTGGATACTCACAGGTCAGGAATTTTAACTCACACGAAGGAAAGGACACATCCAAAAGGACAACTCTGGGGGTTGGGGGTCAAGAGCAAGTCCCACGTGGGAGGCCTGGGCTCAAGTGAAGGGCACGTGATCACCGCCCACGTGGGCCCATGAGGGAGCCCACAAGAGGCCCATCTGTCACTCAGCGAGAGGAACAGTCCCCACTTCTGGGACGAGGAAATAGGCCAGCAGGGCTGGGAAGCACGGGGGATGCTCCACTGGGGATGAAGGAAACAAAAGAAAAACACTCCAGCTCTGCCTGCCAAAGCGCGGAGGGGCCAAGACATCTCCCTTGGCAGAATCACAACTCAGGATTCCTTCATTTGTAGATTTCTGCATTTCCCAAAGGGACCTAAAATCCCAATCTAAAAGCCAACATTGAGCAGGACAACCATTTCCAGGACTATGGAGCAGGGCACCAGGAGAGAACAGAGGGAGCCACCAGGCAGTTTTCAAAATACTTTATTACAAAATAGTCAGGGCCCGCAGACGGTTTTCCAATGCTCTCCAATACAGAAACTGCCAACTCCTGGCACTGCCCGCCAGAGTCCGACTTCTGTAGGAATTTCGGTTTCCTTAGAACCATAGGAAAACCGCAGCAGGCAGCAGAATGGAGTCGGCCAGTGCCCAAGGACGGTGGCTGACAGCTGATCAAAGATAACATCGTTTGTTTCCTCCCGTCCATGGCCAAAGCCAAAATCCTCAGAGAGATGAGGCAGTGTGGAGAGTCGCGCACTCCAGACACCCTACCAGCCAGGCCGCTACTTCTTATTCCTGGGCTTTAGCTCTTCAGCTGCATTACGCAGGAAAATGTAATTTTTCTTCTGAGGATTATAAAATTCATGTCCCTAAAGAGGAAAAAAACCCAGAGATCGTATTATTAAAAAGCAGGATGTTTGCTTCATGTGAATTAAAATTCCTAACCAGTGAGTTAGCAATTGGGGGCCCTTTTTCTATGATGACTCTTACACTCCGGGCTCCAAGCACATCATCCCTGGCAGCAACAGAGACAAAGATCGTGAAGAGAAGTAAAAGCCAAATGTTGACAGCCCAGTCCTGGGAGCACCGCGAAGGGCCTGCAGCGCCCTGCCGGGAGGGCCGGTCCCACACTGTCTTCTGAGAAGAGCCCCTTCCAGCTGCCATGGCGTCAGTACCAGGCACCTGCCCTGGCCCCAAGTGGTTTCACAGGGGACGGAGCCGTGACGCGTCACAGGGGCCCGCTGGCCGCCCCTCAGGAGGGAAGCAGAGGTCCCAGGTGGTCCCTGAGTCTCCTGTACAAAGTCCTGGGTTTGAGGGCAGCCCCCGGGGGATGGGATGTGAGCAGGCCAGGGCCACAGTCAGGCCTGAGCCGAGGGAGTGAGGCAAGACAGGAGCCTGGAGCAGTGGGGCGCAGCTCAGCATCACCTCTCCTGCGACAGCACGTCTGTTCTCACACCACCAGGCATACTTAGGAAGTTCTACAAGCCACTAACGGTCAGAGGCGAGCACGGATGCTTATCATACTGTGCAAAGCACTTTTCTGAAGGGTTACATCCCAGAGCAACTAGTACTAGTCAGAGGCAATCCGGACCTCACACTGGGGTAACCGCATGAACTAAATAATGCAGAATCATTCTTTTGAGACAAGGTCTCGCTCTGTTCAGGCTGACCTTGAACTCGCGGCGGCGACTCTCCTGCTCTAGCTTCCCAAGTGCTGGGACTGCGGGCGTGTGCCACACCTGGCTAACAATGAAAAATTCATAAAGTTGTGTTTTTAAAAAACGACTCAATTGTGATTTATGTAAAACCCCCACTATTAACACTGCTTGGACGAATCACCTTAATGTTTAAGCAGCATCAAAGCAATGAGCTTCCTCATTTTCAGCTTATATTTTAAGTGCTCTTAATATAAGGAGCTCTGTATGTGATTGAGATGAAAATGCAGTTTTATGAAGCTGTGCAGCGGAGGGCAGAGGACACCAGGCTCCAGAGATGAAAATCAGGACACAGCGGAGACCCCAGAACGAACATCAGAAGATGAGCGTGCGCAGGCCGGCGGGCAGCTCCTTCCCAGGGCGGGCGGCAGGCGTCACTGCGTCACTCGGGAGGCGTCAGAAGGCTTGGACCCTCCCATCTCCCGCTGAGACTCCCACCCCATCCCAGTGCCACCCCGAGACAGCACCACGGCAGGGCGCACCTTGGACCAGTCGTAGCTCGACGCATAGGCGAATATGTTGCCATTGTGATTGAAGCAGCACGCGGATATCGGCTGGTCCAGCTGCTCTGACGTTTTCAGCTTTGTCCGGGCATCTTTGTCCCAGAAGCTGAATCTGCCGTCGGAGCCCACAGTCGCGAGGGTGCCGTGAACAGGGTGGAAGGCGATTCCATTTACCTGTGTGGTGAGAGGTGGGCTGTGGGGACAATGATTTCCGTCCGCCTCCCGCAGGAGCCAGGAAACAAATCCGTGACCACACTGTGCTCCCTGCCGTGCTCTGGGTGCCTGCTGGCCCAGCGGCAAACCCCGCCTGATGCGCAGAGGGTGAGGTATGGGTACGGCCGGTGACGCCGACAACCAGGCCTCGGGGGCTTCCTTCTGCCGGATGGAAACTGCCTAGCAGCCCTCACAGACAAGGTGGCAAGTGCCCCCAAGTCTTAGTCTCCCATTCCAGAAACACAAAAACAAAAACGAAACACCCAAGATCAAAGCCAGTCTCTTCCCCAGCAAAAACACAAATCACCCGAGCACCATCGTCTGCACATCCAGCTCCCCAGCGAAAGCGAAGCTCCTATAAACTCACCGCATAGATGTCCTGGGGTGCTGAAGTGTTGGTTCCATTGGATCGGTGACATTTAAAGGTGAAATTATCTTTGGCACTGAAAAAGAAAGGTCCATCTAAGTTTTCCTGTCTAAAAAAGGTCTCAGGTGAAACTCCCTGCTGGAGGAACTGCACTTACGGATTTGGGGGGTTGATGTAGTGAATAGCAACTCTGCCCTCAATGCTCCCCAGGGCGAAGCCAGTTGGCTTGTTCTGTTTGTCTTTAAAAATAGCCACACAGCGATGCTGCAGTAAAAGAGAGAAGTGCATTACTGCAATGCAAAGACTGGTTAATGTAAAAGTGAGTGCCAGCCCATCTTCAGTTCTTAGAAAAGCCAGAGGCGTTACTTAAGCACCACAGCAGCGTTTCTGTTCTCCAGGCACAGCTGCACTGTGCCGGGCCCTACCTCGGAGCAGGCTCCCAGCACCGCCCCACACGCCCTGTCTGTGCTCCGGCTTCTCCGCTGGGAAGCAGTGTCTGCCCGGACAGTCCCACTGGGGAGGTGGAAGAATTTGGTAAAGGAGGACGTGCTGCACACAAGTCAGATGACGGCCATCTTCACCTCAGCATTGACACTGCAGATACCACACACAGACGGATGCAAAGCCTTCCCTCCTGACTGCCTCATCTCCCGTTGTGTGAAGTTCTCCAGGTCATCCATGATGCTGAAAATGCCAGCGTTTTCCTTTTTAAGGGCTGAATAGTATTCTAGTATACGCATTTACCTCTTCACATTAATTTCAGTGAACAATACTGAAACTAACAAAGAAGTCCACTTTTCTCTTCAAAATGTGGATTTTGACCTTTAAAGATAAAAACCTAGGTTGGAGTGGTGGTGAACACCTGTGATCCTAGCACTTGGGAGGCAGAGGCAGGAGGATTGCCAAGAGTTCAAGGCCAGCATACCCGAACTATGTAGCAAGACCCTGTCTCCAAAAGAAACCCCCTAAACAAACAACAAACAAAAGATAAATACCCAGGAGACTGCTAGATCCTGTGGTAGTCTTACTTTTAATGTTTTCAGGAGTCTCCACACTATTCCCTGTAACAGCCACAGGATTTTGCATGACTCCACCAGTGCACAGGTTCTGACTCCTTTCTGCAGCTCTGCACCCAGTTGTTTCCCTGCTCCCTGGGTTCTCTGGCCACTGCCCCAGAGCCACGCACTCCCTACACCCCTAGCCTCCTCCTCACAGTGCCTGTCCGGGACTCCCACCTCCTGTGTGTATCTCACTGCAGCCAGGAGCCACTCCCAAGTCACCGCTCCCGTCTTTCCCTCTCCCCTCACCGGCCTCCCTCTCTGCCATCTGGAAAGCACCTGGAATCTGCTCTTTTCTCTCCCTCCCCCGCCACACTAGACCTGAGCTGCTTAGGTCAACACTTCTCGCAGTGATCTTGGCAATGATTTCTTGGATACAAGAGCAAAGGCATAGGCCGCACAAGCAGAGAATCAAGTCTGGTGTGGACCCTGCTGGGCCGAGGCCTCTATGAGAAACACGAAGGAGCTGCAGGACCACTGGGTCTGCAGGAGGCGACTGATGGCGCCAGGCTCCTGTGAAGGAAAACATTTGCACAGGCTGACTCCGGACAGGAGGGACTGATGTCAGCTGTGTTCTGAGCAGCATGAGGGAGGCTCAGCAGTCTCGTGGCAAATGGAAAACTGAAGAGAAAAACCTCACAACCACTTAAGTGTGGTGAAGGTGGAGTTAAGGCTGAAGTGACAAATTACAAAGGACCCAACCGGCAGATGTGCAACCACTCGGCAGCACGGGGACAGCGGCATCCACTCTAAGTACCATGTCGTCTCCTTAAATGTCCCCAGAGAAAGGCGGCTCTCCCTCAGGTGTGAGCACCACGGGTGTACAGCGGCCGCCTGACGCACCTGGTGCTTCAGCGGGGACTCTATCCTCCGGAACTCCGAAGGCTGGTTCTCTAGCTGGTAAACAATCAGGCCCCTCTCCGCCGTCGCCACTACTGCCATTGGATATATCTAGGGACCGCAGGACAACAGAGATGCATGGTGTGAACGGAATGGGCTTTTAACCACGTATTAGATTTTTTTAACTCACAAAATTTTTGAAGTTTAATAATTCAGTGACAGCAACGTGTTTCATAAATACCTAGAGAAATTGTATTTGAAAGTAGGACCCTGAAAATAGACTCATCTTTTTTTAAACTATAATATATATCGACAAAATATTCTGAGGAACTGAAAAGAAATAGAATTACCTATATATGACAATGACCAACACAATGGTACATTTTATTTCAGTCCTTTTCTGACCATTGTGCATATAAACACTTGTGTAATTCATGCCCTTTGCTTGAATTGCATCACATGAGCATCAGCAGATTTCTCACTTTTCCAACAGCAGAGCGGCGTCCAGAGCTCCCTCTAGCGAACACACTGCAGGTCCCAGGGCCCCCTGAACCCTGAAAGCCCGTAGGTCACTTCATTGTATCAAGCAAGGCCACTCACACCCATTGCTTTCTAAGGATAAATTCCTCACAGTGGATCTACTGGAAAAGCTGATACAAAACCATAAGACCATGATTAAATAGATGGAGAAAGTTCTTAAGTTTCTGTCCTAGTTAGACAGTTCCAAAGACAAGAACCACATCACAAATTACTACAAGCTTTCCTACCACCACAAGGTCAGTGTTACCCTAGGGATGACAGGTAGCCAGCTGCACGTGGGCACACAAGTGATCAAAACCCCCAGCAATTAGTAATTCTGGAATAAATGCAGTCCTCAGACCCTCTAGGACAACTAGGCCAAAGTGAATTCCATCTAATATTGTGGAGGAGTTTTGGAATGCCCACTACCTGAAGAAAGGCTTGTTCTATACTCTAAAGGAAATGATGCACGCTCCTTACCACATCAGCACAGTAACACCTTTCTGGAAGCTGCAAGACCATCATGGGATTTGATGACCGTGTATCCCAAAACTGAAAGCAGAAAAGGAGAAGAGAAAGTGACCATTTAGAGCTGCAGGCTACTCAAGGTAAAAAATGTCCACTGTGATCAGGCCATACAATTCCCACACCATGGACCCTACCTTCAGCGTCTTATCCCAGCTTCCGGTCATCACACAGCTGTAGTTTGGAGCTTTGATCCAATGTATAGTTTTAACAGGAGCATCATGCTTTCCACAAGAGAAAAACAAACAGATCAATGTTAACAGTGTGCTAGAGTTTTGGCTTTAGAATTCAAAAGAGGGTGAGTAATTTAAGTACTGAGATCATAACAACAAAAATCAAAGCTATTTCAGTGCTTCCTCTTGACCAAAAATATTCAATACAAAGGAATACACACCTACTTTCATTCTAACAAACTAACTTGATTTTTACTCACTAGTATGTCAGCCCCTCCCTGGGGGATATTAAAAACTAGTGAAGAACTGTACCATTTTTATTTACCAAGGAGACACGAATCAAGGTCAGGGAATGCTCCTAGTACATGCCACGATCAGTACACTAGTTCAGCGCTGTGATCTCAAGAGCACACAACTCTGCTCTGGAGGTCTGTGTCAAGAGCTGCCCCTGAACGTCCCCAAATAGCAAGGCCCTCCAGTGGTAGGTTCCGTCCTCACCACTCACCCCGTGAAAATGGCTCTGTCATTGGGTAGATTACAAGAGCTCTGTGGGCATGCAGGAAATGTCCCCCTTACTGCTGTATCTCCACCTCCTGATGACAGTGCCTGGCACATGGCAAGAATTCAACACACACATGCTAAATGAGGAGCAACCAAATCCAGCCAGGAAAAGTCACAACAGTGCTGGAATTCAAACGTGAATGTCCAGATCCACCCGTGTGACACTTATCTGATTCCACCTATACACATGCAAAGGACCTAGCACAAATGCTCTGTGAAATACTATGAAAATCAGGGTGGCTATAAAGCTGGTGTTATTTTTGTCCCAAAGAGGGTTCTGGCACACGTAAGTGACTTGGTATAGGCAAACTGCACTTTATCTATGGCAGAAAATTATTACAATCAAAGAATGATCATAAGCCCCATCCTGCCTGGCTCTTTTGGAAAAAGCTTTGCCACCTGTGCGATCTGGATTGCTTGGTTACTGTTGAGGTCCCACATTTTGGCAGTTTTGTCACACGATGCTGTAAATACTTTGCTTCCATCCTAAAGCAAAAGAGAAAATTTGGCATTCTAAGGAAACTAAATCTCTACATATGCATTCACACATTACATTAAGTCAAACTATGTGTTCTGCAGCTTTTATTATTCTAATTAGGTGAAAGCCAGTGTATTGCAAACTATATAGTCATAAACAAAACATTTTTGCTGTATATTTGATTGAGAGACATCTGGAGGATTAAAAAAAAAAATGAGTATCACTTGAAGTTATATAATGAAATTTAAGTCTCTCTCACCCGATTGTACTTTTTTCTCAAAAGCAACTTTAGACCACTTTTAAAATGTTTTTATTTCAACACAGTTTAAGTGTTTAATAATCACTGGTCTATCTCAACTAATGTAACTTTGAAAATACGCAGTCACTATGTATTGGTTTTCTTTTTTTCTTTTTTTTTTCCTTTTAATAACTAATTCCAATAACCTTAATAGAAATTTTCAAATTTTCTTTTGGTAAAATGACATTCTTGAATTAATAGTTATGCCTGGAACGTTAATAAAATATCTCAACAATTTCAAATTCTGTAACTAAATAGCCATCTTAGTAAGTCACTGTTTCTTGAAATCATTCCTGAATCTGCATAAACTGTACTGCTATTCTGAAGTGCATTCCTTTGCTGGTAACAGTACTAGGCCCGAGAGGACCTGGATACACCAGGCAAAATCTGTTCCTAGTAAGGACCATCATCATCCAAAATGTGAAGTTCAGCATTTTTAAACTTTCCTTACAGAAATGTTTAAGAAAGCAATCAACCCTTCTTCACAGGACAGTAAAAGTAAACAAAAATGAGCAATTTAGGCAAGAAAGGTGTTCACGGATCTCATAACAAAAAAGGGGGATTCCATATAAGACAGCATTCTGCTTTAATGTGAAAATGGAGCTACTGCGAGTGAAACAAAAATAGTAAAGGGACTAAGTAATTTACAAAAATAGAAGCCAGATTGGTGCTTTCATCAAGTATACGCTTGTTTGAAAAATCTTTGCTCCTGAAGTAAATATCTGGCAACCACAGTGATCAGCAGTCAAGCAATTTCAACAAAATAAGTCATCAAAAGAGGACTACTTGTCTGAAAGAGCAGTACCTGAGAGACACTGAACTTCATGGCTCATCACAACCATTTCCAAAATTTAATTCATACTATCCTTTCATAAAGAAAGAGACTTTCTTTTGAGTTCCATAGCATGATGACCAAAAAGGAAGGAAAAAAAACAAAAGAAAAAGACAAATCCCATGCCTAAATTTAGGACATTGTACTGTACAGCAACTCAAAACATTCAAAATGAATTAAATCATTTAACTTATTTGATAGGCATATGAGCATTTCAAAAGCATAATGAAATCCAGTTATGTGGTGCAAAACGTAGGTAAGGGTGGACTCTAACACCACAAAGGCATCCGCTAAATAAAAGCTCCCAATAGGACCATTACGTAAGAACATTGGTGAGTGCAGACTATTTCTGTGGAACCCTTCTGAAACTGAGGGTCTAAAACACAATACATTTTTCAAGTAGGCACCAAGTTACCCTAAAAAATTTTCACGATTGTTATTTTGACATTTTTCTCATCAGATATTCAACTTACATCAACAATACATGTGGTTTTCCAGGAAAAAAAAATTCCTCCAAACCAAATCACCATTCCAGATTCCATACGTTTAAATATATCACTCTCATTGGAAGGGCTATCAGCATAGCCCTTCCAATGAGCCCAAAGCATATATTTCAGAAGTTTTTAGAAACTGTGATGTTCATGACGTTTAACCAAACTGTTTTCTGATGAAGACAGCATTGTACTTTATGCAAGACTGGAAACCTCAACACAGTCACCATAAAGCTTCTAAGATTTATCGGATAATAAACTAGGGTGTTCCACAGATATTAAGATGAAACCCACATTGGGATTATATTTAGAGCAGCCCTGAGTAGAAGACAAAGCCCAAACCACCATCAGAATGAAATATGACATGGCCCAAAATGTATCCTTAAAGTTCTGTCTCAACGCTCAGTATGAATAGTGAGGATTGATCTTCAGTCCAGCCGGCAGAAATTGTGCAATTTTCCAGTGTATTTATTGTACAGACTATATGAATTTTAGAAGTTTCTTTCAGTGCTACACTGTTGTACTTTTTGTCCCAGCGATTTGAGAGCTTGCAAATTCCACAAAGTCACAATGAGAACAGGCCATGCTCCTCAATCAATCAGATGTGTCATCTGTATCACTGCACCAACGTCTAAAAGAAGATTCCAAGTATCTTTTGGTATTGATTGTATGATGTTTCAACAAAAATTTATTCTGTTAAGTCTAAGAATTTAAAGCTTCTGTTGGGCACTAAGTTCCAGTAGGCAAGGGCCATTTCTGGGTCCTAATTTTTTTTTTTGGTACCGGGGATTGAACTCGGGTCCTTGTGCTTGCAAGGCAGGCCTCCGTCTGGATCCTAATTCTGTCATGCAGTCCATGAATTCCTCCTTGGAGAACTCACACTGTGTCGCCACTCTGAACTTTCATGCAATGATGAAAACACTACAGGATCAAGTGCCAGGGCATCACAGGACTGCTGTATACCATCTATTCCAACTTTATGTTCATCTCGAGGATCTCTATCTATTGTAGTTATTTTAACTTCTTCCTGTCCGACGATACTTTTACACTCGTATATAAAGTTCAAAATTTTGGAAAAAAAATTATCTCTTGCAATATCTAACTTCCAATCATTTTGAGAAAAACAACTTATTGCAATTTTTTCACTAAATTGTGTGAAGATCATAAACCATTGAACTTTATCCTTCTGCAATGATTTCAACTTGTTTACGTGGGTGTCCTCCAGGCCTCTCCCCTCCTCCTCTGGCTCTGCAGCAAACACACGGTGGCAGTGAATCCTCACAAGCTCACCAGGCTCTGGCTCATGTGCAGTGCGGGCGGCCCCCTGGCACAGCCCAAGGAGGCTGCTCTGGGCCTCAGGAGGCGGAGGGGCAGGGACAGGCAGTGTCTGTATTGGTTTTAAAAACAGTCACATGTAGAACTCATAGAGTGGCCCTGTCACTATAGCTTCAAAGCAGCCATACATGTCCTGTGGTTAAGATGTGTGGCCGCATTCCAATAAAACTTTATTTTGTAGTGGGCCGGGGATGTAGCTCAGTGGTGCTATGCGTGCCTCGCAAGCGCATGATCCCGAGTTCCATTCCCGGTACCAAGAAAAGAGAAAATACAAATAAATAAATAAATAAACTTCATTTGGTAGAAAAATAGGCCATGGGTCCAATTTGCCTCACGGCCATAGTTACTAAACCCTGGTTTACTCATTTCCATTCTGGTTTCAGAGTGCAAAAGTTTCTTACCTGTACCCCTATAAAAATATCTGAAGCTACCAGTTCTTCACCTCAAAGAGTTCACATCTGCTTCTCCCTCCATTAATGAATTTACAGCTGTGAGTCGTACTGCTAGGGCTATTAGGTGAATAAATGGGTGACAATATGACAAATCCTTGGCAACACAGCAATTCAACTAACAGAAGGTTGAGCACACGGTGACGCCTCCTATCACGGCACTGCTCAGCCACAAGGACAAACTACTGACACATGCATCTCACCAGGATGATCTTCAATGCATTATGCAAAGTCAAAGAAGCTGGTCTCAAAAGCTTCCATCCTATGTAGGATCCGATCCCATCTTTATGACATTCTTGTACAGCAAAACTCACAGAAAACAGAGGAGTGGTTTCCAGGCACTGGGAGGTGAGGCAGATTTGACTACAAAAGGGCAGGAGCGACTTTGGGGCTGATGGATCTGTTCCACATCTTGAATGTGATTCTGTGTGTTCCTCAAAACACAGAACTATACACTAAAAAGGTTCAATTGGACTGTATGCCTAATAAACACTCATAAGTCAAATCTAGCTAAAAAATAACCTACTAACATCTGACTGGATAAAGAAAAGTACCAAGCCTTGGAAGGGCCTTGAAGCTTAGTACTGTGGTACATCTGTTTCTTGCTTCTGCTGGGCCCAGCCAGAAGGCAGACAGGGAGGAAAGAGCAAGTGTGGATCCTCCCTCTGGTGCTCTGCTATGAGCTGGCCGCTGCCACAGGTGCCTCACCCAGTTTCCTGATGGTCTCTCTGTTTATTACCAAGCTTTTCTGGAAAAACCAAAACAGGGCCAGGGATTTAGCTCAGTGGTTCTGCTGCCTGCCTCACAAAAGTGCAAGGACCCAAGTTCGATCCCCAGCACCAAAAAAAAAAAAAAAAAAAAAAAAAAAAAAAGCTCAGATATTCAGCATTTGGCGAGGAGAAATAATTTTAAAAAACTTCAAAAGTCTGATATAGTAGTACTCTGTAAATTGGTTCTAGGAGATGCAGTAAGTACCAAAAATGACAGGCACCAAACGTACTGTTTTGGCTAGAAAGGGCAGCAAGTCATGCAGCTATTGACACCAAAGAGGTCCTGCCTGTTCTCCAAGTACCAAACAAATGAAATTATCAGGACAAAATTTTCACATCAAAGTCAAGCACTGATAGCGAAAGCTCTCAAGTACCAAAGTATGATGAAGAGAAATACATTTGTTTTTTTCCCCTCTGAGGTTTTCTGATAGTGAAATTTCCAATTTTAAAATGAAGCTCTATCTGGGTAAAGTGTTGCACATCTGTAATTCCAGCACACTAGGAGGCTAAGGTGGAGAGGTTACAGTCTGGGCTACTTAGCAAGACCCTGCATCAAAATAAAAACCAAAAACAGTATTGAGAGATACAGCTCAGGGACAACATCCCAGGGTCATCTCCAGTATCACCAAGTAAAATATAAATATAAATAAAAAACAACAAAGCTCATGGTGCATTTAACGATAGAGGCTTCAGTAAGTTTATAATCCTGTTTAAAATGTCACTAAAATCATGGAATTCTTCAACACAAGAAAAGCTTTCAGAGAGATGATCTTACTACAGTTTATATTAAGAACATCAGTAAACTACTTTTTATTAATAAACTATTTTTTATTAAAAAATTTAAAGTTCCTAGAATGCAGATGTATACATTCTATACAGGTCAAGTATCCTTAAGCCAAAAAACTAAACTCTTTCAAACTACTTTTTTTTTTTTTTTTTTTTTTTAAGACAGGGTTTTGTGGTTTTGGTATGTAGTTCACAGGCTGGCCTTGAACTTGAGGCAATCCTCCTGCCTCAGCCTCCCGAGTGCCAGGATTATAGGTATGCACCACCACACTTGGCAATACTCCAAACTTTTTCAGTGTCACTCACCATTCAACCAGTTAGGTACATTCGACCAGTAAAATATGCAAAACATGCCCAAATCTGAAAATTTCAAAATCTGAAACACTTTTGGTCTTAAGCATTTCAGATAAAGAGGCACTTAACCTGAGCTTGCATTCAAGTCACTAAGTATTCCAAGTGACACAGTACTTAAAAGTAGAAGAGAACGTTAGAAATGGAAGGAGGCGTACATCACTCCAGCAGACATCGAGCACGGGCCCAGTGTGCATTTGCTGAGCCTTGGGGATGGTCTGCCCACTGTCCTGAACTTCCCAGCAGCGAACCTGTGAGAACGGGAAGAGTTAACAAGAGGAAATCAATTCACGGTGCTAAGCTGCCCCTCGTATGTTACTATTCAAAGGACCAAGACTGGAGTGGGAACTTTTGTTTCTATTCTGAATGCTTTCATTTTTTATCACTTCCCCATCCTTAAAGAAAACATTTTACTTAAGGGATTCTTTAAGTATAAGAACATAAAAATCACTCTAAACTCCCCCTAGACAGCTACGGCCAACAAAGTTCCTTGTGCTTTTAATCTTCCTTCAGTGTCCCCAAATTTCCTTGAGAAGACTACTTATACAGCATCTTTACTTTGTAACCGCAGCTGTTCTCACTAGTACCATCATCCTATTCACCTTTAAACATTTTTCTAACATTTCGTAGCAAATCGAATGAAATTTTTCAGAAACCACATATAAAGCAAAGTTGCTCAACCTTGACTTCTTTCCTCCCTGTCCTCCCCTCAGCCTTTCCCTCCGCACTGCAGGCCAGTTTGAAATCTTTTCTGAAAACTTTTAAGTGGTCTCCCATCATAAGTCACCATTGCTTTAGAACGCTGTAGCTCCTGCACTGTCACTACCAGTCATTCGCGGCACTAGGCAGTGGCCAGGAGGCAGCCTGAGCCGAGTGCAGATCTGTGCCCAGGCCGCCCCGAGCAGAGACAACCTGGGCTATCATTCCACAGAGCCCTGACCGATCACGTGAGGTAGGAGGAAGTTCCTGGTGCTTCAGCTATGATAAAGACCAATGCAGGTAGCGTGGCTTATCAGATTTCTCCCAGGAGAATCAATGAGTCAAGGGGCTTAAACTTAAGAATATCTGATAAACATTGCCAATTACTCTCCAGAAAAAATGTTCTAATTCACATACCTACCAGCAATATAGGCAGGGTTTTGCTGCGGATTTAGCTCAGTGGTGCTGGGTCTGCCTCGCAAGTGCAAGGTCCTAAGTTCGATCCCCAGTACCAAAAGCAACAACAAAACATCTTGCCAGGAATTTAGCTCAGTGGTGCTGCTGTTTGCCTCATAAGCACAAGGTTCCAAGTTCAATCCCAGGTACAAAAATAAATAAATAAATAAATACAGGTAAGGTTTAAGCTTAGTTTCTGGCAATATTATTCTTTTAAACTTCAACCTTTTGTTAATTTGATTTAAAATAAAGTGGAAAAAGGTCACATAAATTTGTCTCTTTCTGCGTATGTGGGTGGCTAAATGGTTGCAGTTTACTTTTGGTGACGTACCTCTTCACATCCTGTGCTAATTTTTCTGTACACTATGACTGATTTTTATGTACATAATGAAAAATTATAATGTTCATTCAGGATTTGTGTGATTATCTAAAGTCAAAAAAGTTAAACAAACACCCGAAGAACATTTTCAGGATGCCAAGAAAGGAAATTTGTGTATACCACCATGGGTATATTCCTTCTCAAAGAAGAGCAATTTGGTTTGGGAATGTGCTACAAGATACTAGCCTAGCGCAGGACTTTTAAGCATGCATGACTGGAATGCCTCCACTTGGAAGGACTCACAGCCTCTAAATTGGCTTCTTGAAAAAGGCCATGTACTCAGCCTTACCTTGGATTCACTCACTTGCCACAGAATGGAGCTGACCAGAAAGGTAACCCTGCCCACACAGAGGTACGGCTTACAGAGGATACACTCAGGGAGCACTTACATCGTTAGCCCATGATCCTGCAATAAGAAAGTTCCCTGGCAAGGTTGGGGGGCTGAATGATAGACACCCAATGCTGTCATCAGGAGAAGATGTAACTTCAATATCCTGGGGAGGGAAAAACCAATGTTAAACTGCACACATCATTAATGTCAAAACTGCTTTCTTTCTCACTAACCATGTCATGATGGACTTTCCTTCTCTCAAAAAGGGAAATCAGACTTTTCCTTACTTTGAACAGGAGTAAAAGTCAGGCAAAGTACAAGCACTGCCAGACAAGAAGCAGACTCTATAGGAAAGGCCCAAAGCCATGTCTTCGGCCGCCAGTTCACTCCTGCCTTTGGTGCTGGTCCTAGTTATCTCCTGCCCTTATCCCAACCACAGAAACACTGACTAGAGTCCTGGGGGACTTTCACAAGCATCTGCAGTGATGCTGGAGACCCAGTCAGGGGAGCGGGCACTGTCCAGGAAACTGGCACTCCTGAGCTCCAAGGCTTGAGAAAGTACGGCTGAACAAAATTTCAGACCTTTCTCACCAAAGGCTGCTTCCAAGCCATCTCTGCTTCTCCTCCTGTCACGTTGTAAAAACTCTGGCCTGAGCTCACCCTCCAAACCCCACGCAGCTTGACAAGGTACCTTCATAGGGTTATGATTATCTGTGGTTGTGCTGCCAAACATGCTGGTCCCACCAGTTCCAAAACCGGAGGTAGTTCCAAACAGACTCATTTTAGCTCTAAAAATAAAGTGGAAAATGTTATGGACAGCTCCCTTCCTGAGTAATAAATAGCAGTGAGATGCAAAAGAGATACTAAGTCCCAGAACAGAGCTAACCTGAATAGCTGGATGACAGGATTCTCTCTTCAGGTCTAAAATTGTAGTAAGCAACTTTCTATTTCAGAACAGTTCACATTTACAGAAAAATTAAAAGAGAATTCCCACATTCTCCATGTCTTCTTCCCCTAATATATTGGTGCGATGTATTAGTCACTACTAATAAACCAACACAGATATATTATAGCAGAGCATTCTTTTAGACACTAGCTAGGAGATAAATTCAGTCATTCTTTACATAGCTAGAGATGCTCAGCTGCACACCAGAAATACAACAGCAAAAAAGGTCTTCAAGTAAAAGTTTACTTTCTTATTTCTGCATGCAGTTAGCTAGAAAAACCACCAGTTCTAAGAGACTCACAATTTCATTTGGGGAGGAGTTTTAACAAAGGAATCCACTCTGGCTTGTTTGAGTGTCAAAAGGTCTGGCAATGCGTTGTGGACATTTACTTGACAACAATTTCCACTGGACTTTTTATCTTTTTTTGGTACCGGGGATCGAACTCAGGACTTTGCACTTTTGAGGCAGTCAATAGAACCACTGAGCAAAATCCCTGGCCCCACCGGATTTTTTTTCTTTTTTTTTCTGGGAGCATCACAGTCTACCAGGACACCCAGCGTTTGAACAAAACCTCTATCATTCACCAGAGCTGGAACCCTAATTTCACCAGGCTTTGTTTTCCTGCTCTGAAAACAAATACTGCACCTTCTTTAAGACCACTCTTAAGAATCACATCACATTATGTAGCAAGTGCCACTGTGTCTAGCACACACTGGGCATAGTAAACAACTTTCCTTTTTTTCCTTCCAAGGAGAAAGTTTAATTCTCCAATGACTCACATACACTGATGTCATATTTTGAATTATGTTACTGGCTAGCTAATTTCCTCACTTAGAAGTTTACCACGTCACTCTCCAAGAGGAGCCTAATAATAGTGATATACAGAACTTGCTAACCAAGGCAATACAAGACAGAGACTCTGTGAGGGACTCTGGAGGGGCGTGTGAGTCTCCTCAACGTCATGAAAAATAAAGTGCAGACAGAAGGGGTCAGAGCAAGACCTCTGAGCACATTAACATCTCAGAGATCTACTCTGTGAGAGGCTGTGGCGCTTGCCAACCACATTTCTGCCCTCAAACATGCAGATATGCTCAAAATACCAATTGGCTGCATGAAGGAACAAGCAAAGAACAGGGCTTTTATAATCAGGGACTAGAAAACAGCTACTACACGGCTCTGGATCCATTATTTAGTTTTGATCTTCTCACCTATAAAAGAGACACTAATACGGACTTCCGAGTTACGAGCACTAAGTGAGTCTTGCACACAGTGCCTGAGACACAATCGGTTTTTGGTTCTGCAGCACTGAGGATTGAACCTAAGACCTTGCATGAGCTATGGAAACGCTCTACCACTGAGCTATGTCTGCAGCCCAAATTTAATTTCAAGATAGGGTGATCCTCCTGCCTAAGCCTCCTGAGTAGCAGGGATTAAAAGCGTATACTGCTATTATGCCTGGCTCATGATGGGTTTTTGGTCATTTCTGTCCCCTCCCTTTCCCCAACCTTCCGGCTGCCATGAGGGATGAACTGCAGGATTCTAGGCAAAAGTCAGGGATGTGCTAAACAAAGTGGTGCAGGTCACAGCTGCGCATCAGGCACTGAGAAGCGTCAAGCACCTTCCCAGCCTCCCTCCTTCCTGTACTCCAGCCCGCCTTCCACCCCCTCCCAATCTTCACATCCCAGTTCAAAAGCTGCTTTCTCAGAACTTCCTGAGGTGGTGGAAATGTTCTCAAGCGGCACTGAGGTGACATTTCAGCAAATGTATACCATTTCCCAAACTCACCAAAACACGCACTTTTCCTGGGTGGATTTAATGTTCTGTTAGTTGTATTCTAATGGAGCTGTCAGGCGTGGATTTTTAGAAAGTCAACTGTGAGTCTTCCCTAACACATCCAACTCCCCATCACCCCCGCTCCCTTGGTTTCTTCACTGCGATTTCTTGTTTACAAGCTCTGTCAGGCGTGGTGGTGCACGCCTGTAATTCCAGCACTCCGGAGGCTGAAGCAGGAGAATTGCTGAATTCGAGGCCAGCCTGGATTACGTAGTGAGTTCAAAGCCAGGCAAAACTAGACAGCGAGACCCTGTCTCAAACAAAACAAAACAAAAACACAAAAAACCAAGCTCTCCCCCAGCGGTGTGCTCGCTCCACTGGGGCCTCTCCGGAGGCCACAAGCACGCCGGGCCCCGGCACAGTAACCGCCCCACTGAGACCTGCCTGGGGGAAGTGTGTACAAGAAATGACTGGCGAAGGGAGACGTCTACAAAGGGGAGAATACCTCTCAGCAGCAGAGCGGCCAGGGAAGACTTCTCGGAGGGGCGACCTGCGTCTGAGAAGCCAGATACTTGAGGAGGAAAGACAGAGGCGACAAACGGCAAGGTTAGCCCGAATCACCGCATGGTTCCCGGCTCGGACCTGTCAGCCCGCTGTCCCCTCAGCTCGGCCGAGGGCCGGTTAGTCCCGCGCGCCTCACAGTGAGGCGA